TGTGTGTGTGTGTGTGTGTGTGTGTGTGTGTGTGTGTGTGTGAAAAAAGGAGAAGAAGAAACCAAATGCACTGAGAAGTTCCTGCCAAACTGCAGATTCTGGATCTCAACCATGGTTTTGGGAAGCACTGAACTAGAATCTGTGATTGAAGGGCTTTCGGTGCCTCAAAAATGGAAGGGGAAGGAAATTCATCAATTGCATGTCGAAGTCTGTTTATTTTTGCCCTTTTAAATCAAACGCATGTCGAAGTCTGTTTATTTTTGCCCTTTTAAATCAAACACATATCAACAACGGTGGCCCTTCATTTGAACAGGGTAAGAGCCCCGAGGCCTGTTCCCACTAGCAGCGGAATTGGTGTATGCCCAAGCCTATGGACAGGTTCATTACGATTTCTTCTTCCTTTTTTTTTATTTATTTTATTTTTATTTTTATTTTTTAAACAGGGCCTTATGGTCCTGGCTCCTTCTATTCTGGGGAGCGTCAGTCCGGTTCCCTTTTTTTTTCTTTTTTTTCTTTTTTTTTAAATAATTCAGGGCCTTGTGGTCCCGGCTCCATTCTATTCTGGGGAGCATCAGTCCGGTTCCTATTCCACCGGCAAGTCAAGAATTATTACCTCGTTGGGATTTCACTCACGCTTCCTTCCGTCTGGCCGAAGGACCCCTGGACAGCATTGATTGCTCCACCTCAGTGGAGGATTGACTGCCATCCTCTCTCTTTCCTCTCAGACCGGACAAATAGGTCTGCCAAATTTCATCGCTGAATCCTAGAAAGAGTCCCTCTATTGTGAACATCAACCCGAGCCCTTCCCGTTCCGCCTTTATTTTCTTTTTGCCTAAGCAACCATTAAACCCTGAACCCTAAACCCTCGTCCTTCTTGACTGCACCCCGATATACCATTCCCGTTCAAGGATCGCCTTCCTCATTACTCCGGGACTCTTTGCTTTAAACCTTTTACTTCCCTTGCTCGCCTGTGTTACTAGCTTGCATCCTGGTTCGCACCGCTGTACATCAAGAGTAGTGTTCCGAAAGCAGAAGTGTCCCAGTTAGAATTTGAATCGAGGGTTCCACTCCCTGATACCGTACTTTGCTGTTCCGGAATTCTTCTTGAAACTGAGTGACACTCCTTCCTCCAGATAGGATCATTCCTCAAATCAGCAACCTTCCCCCCTGCCAACCATGCCTTGATGAACTTGTCTCTAGCCCTCTTCTGCTGCTCTTCATCGTCTGTCCCTGTTCTCTTGATCCTCTTCCATCTGCATGGAATTTCTGCCTGTATCTGAACCTTTGTCTCCACCCAGCCTCTCTCCCGTGCGCTTGCAGCCTCCTCAGTCGTTCTGCTGCAGTCCGGTTCCTTTTTTATTTATTTATTTATTTAATAAAAGCATTACAACAGGCCGAGGATTGACTGCCTGCTTGCCTGTCCTCCCTCTTTCCTCTCAGACCGGACAAATAGGTCTGTCAAATTTCAACGCTATATCCTAGAAAGAGTCCCTCTATTGTGATCACCAACCCGAGCCCTTCCTATTCCCCCTGTTTTTTCTTTTTACCTAAGAAAACATTAAACCCTGAACCCTAAACCCTAAACCCTCGTCCTTCTTAACTTCACCCCGATGTACCATTCCCATTCAGGGGTAGCCTTCCTAATTCCTCCAGGACTCTTTGCTTGGGTCCTTCTTGATCGCCCGCGTTACCAGCTTGCCACTTGGTCCCCACCGCTGTACATCAAGGGTAGTGACCRGAAAGCATAACTGTCCCAGTTAGACTCTGAATCGAGGATTCCATTCCCTGGTACCGTGCTTTGCTGTTCCAGATTTCTTCTTCAAATGGAGTTGTGCCCCTCCTTCCTCTCAATAGATTCATTCCTCAACTCATCAACCCTCCCCCCAGCCTACTATGTCTTGAGGACCTTGTCCCTAGCCTTCTTCCGCTGCTCTTCATCGTTTGTCTCTGTTCTCTTGATCTTTTCCCTTTGCATAGAATTTCTGTCTGTATCTGAACCTTTGTCTCCCCCCGGAATTTTCCCATGCGCTTGCAGCCTCATCAATCGTTCTGCTGTACCTTTCCTTCCCTAAGACCCCCGGGAGGTCTTTCCGGTGAACTCAATCCAGATCCTTTCTGTTTTTCGTGGCCCCTTAAGGAATTCAGTCTAAAGGAGAAGTTAATTTTCCCCTCTTTCCCTTAGCCCCGCCTCTTATTTGTTCCCTGATGTCCTCATCTCTCTTCCCTCCATTTGAAACGAAGTTGTAAGCCTCTGGGCTCTGCTACTTTCCCCTGGCCCAAAATATTCTGTTTGAATTTTTTGATTAATTCCTCCTCTTGCCCAGGTTGTTGTCTTGCTTGCTGTCTCACCCTTTTCCACTGCGCGTTGAGATGTGTTTCCACTGTATTGAGGAGCAGTTCTCTAKCTTCCTCCCTATGAATTAGTGTTCCTTCCATGGTGGCCTGACATCTCCTCTTCCAAATGGACCACAGTCCATATTGTCTCAGGAGTTGAAAGATGTGCCTCTGGTAASGTTGCCATCCCTTGGGAACCCCATCCCCCAAAAGCATGGTAATMTTTGCTTCTGGGAARGYTGTCATCCCTAYCTGTTTCCAAATTCCCTTAACCTGTTCCCACATTTCTTTCRCCTCCTTGCATTCCAGCAGGCAATGCACCATTGTTTCCGGAAGCCCTTCTTGGCACACTCTGCAAAGCTCCGCTTCCTCGTTTCTCTGGTTGTGACTYCTYCTWTCGTTGAGCCACACGTTAACTGGAAGTGCCACGTGCGCTATTAACCATTGCATACTTCTAACCTGACCCAGTCTAATAGATAGGATGCTAGACCACG